TTCCGTGAGACACTTAGGGGCTGTTTGGCAACTTCTGAATGGGTAAGTGCTGAACCAGTAAGAGGTCTGAATCATTAAGTGCTGAACCAGTAAGAGGTCTGAACCATTAAGAGCTAGTATATTGCTTAACTATTCAGAGGCAAATGTCTGATCAATTCAGATAACAGCTCTTAACCATTCAGACTCTGTATAATACTTAACCATTCAGAGGCAAATCCCTTAACCATTCAGACATCTGAACCATTAAGAGGCTGAAACAAACAGTCTGAACCATTAAGTGCTGAATCATTCAGACATCTGAACCATTAAGAGGCTGAAACAAACAGCCCCTTACCCTTGTGAACTTTGCTTTTCTTTTTTTGGTTCATAATCCCATTATGCCAGTCATCATGTGTAGTAAAGGAGAATGATATTGAATGACACGACTATCAATTTGCTTAAGAAATAGAGGGGAAGGATACATATAACAATAACATCCCGACATCACTAAAAATCTTCGCGAGGTGGGAGAAAAGATTGAAAGTGACTTCAGAGAACCACAAGAAAAAACTTAACGCTAGTACAATCACTTAAAGGCCTGTTTGGCATTAGCAATGGAGTTTAACGCTAGCGTTTTGAAGATGCTATCCAAGCATAACTTTTAGCTTTAGCTTTTTTGGAAGCTGATCTAGACAACTGAAGCGTTGATAAATGGTCCAAAACGCTAACGCTAGATAAATATTGAATGTTATTCCAAACAGAGCCTTAATAACTAGTTTTGCCCAAGTCTAGAAATCCATGCGGACAACAAAGGAGAGAGTTTCTTAGAGTCCTAACCCAACCGTACGGCCATCTCTTCGACGAAGCCCAGCAGTGTACTGCTTCTCCAACTCCATCTGGAGCTCCTTCTGCTTATCTGCATCATGAACGTCTGGTTTATGCTCCGTCTTTGTGTCACCCTTCACACCCTACAGTTGGCCATATGTACCAAGGCAAACTCAGACTCTAAAAGTGTGTTAGTAAGTTTGAAAACGTTGAGATGTTATTTAAATATTGGGATGTAATAACACTTGATGTAAAGTCTTGAAATATTTTTTTAGATATAGTTTGGTAAGATGTAATGAAACGGTCATAAAATTAAATGTAGACGCAGATTTTGACACTACATTTTTTCATCATAAGCCTATTCAACCAGCACGGTTCATTGAGTGCATGGTAAGAAAAAAATTAAGCTACCAAACAGGCACTTTATAGAATACATTGCATTTCATTATGACTTGTCAAAAAAAATATGTGAAGTCAAAATACAGAGCAAGCGCAAAGGAAATTACCATGAGCTTGTTGAATTTTTCCTGGCGTTCACGATCACCAAACATTGATGTATCCCAGCGACGAGCAGACTACTTATTGTGAAGAAAAACACATGAGAGGGATAAATATGGTAAATAACATATTGTCACAACAACAATGCCCTGTAAAATGCCACAAGTGGTGTCTGGGGAGGGTAGGTGTAAGGTACCCTTACCGCTCCCTACCAAAAACATATAGACTTAAGACTTGTTTCAAAAAAAACCTGGATTGGAGGTGGAGTGTTTAAAATAAAAATGCTGTTTATTTCAAACATTGGAATGAAGTTGCCAAGATTCATTACTCATTAGGCATGTGTGTGAATGGGGTTTTGGAGGAGACATGCCAATTTCATTTTAGAAAGAATTGTGCTTTAACTTGACAAATTTTCAAAAAAAATATATAACAATGATAAAATAGCATAAAGACTACAAACCCAATGGCCTAGGAATTTATTTATTGCACCTCTCCCAAACATACCCTTAATGTAAAAGGCATCTACACGTGTGATATGCACATTATCCCCTCTCATATGAATATGCTGGACTTTGTAAGACAGAAGTATAAAGGGGGACAAAACTACAATTACCTCTTCAGTATTATCCGTGCTCTTTTTATTTCCCCATAATAGCTTCTTCTTCTGATCAGCAGTCAAGTAACCAGTCCCAACAAGATTCTTATTAACTGATTGTTAAAACAATAACGAAAAAGCATGTTATCAAAAACTGAATAAGATGCACACATATTGGAATCTGAAGAAAGTTAGAGACCTAGACAAGTTCTTAAAAGAAACTCTTATTGAAATTCATGTCATCAGAAAATTAGTATAACTCCTACCCAATTACCTACTCCAAAATATTATGTTAATCTGTGAAGGATAGAGCATCAATAGCCATATCAATTACAAAGCAATTTGAGATTGCATTAGAATATACATAAGCAATCTGAATCAAACTTATACCTAATTCAGCAGCCTTCATGGCAGCAACTTTTGCGACATCTATATCAGAATCTTTCACGCCTGCTTCCAAAGTGACTTCACTAGAAGGCATGTGCCCTTGCTTTGAAATTGAAGATTGTTTTTTGTCTGCCATTACTGGCTTCAGATCTACTCCAATTTATAATAATAAAAAGATGCACGATTAAAATAAACTAAGGAATTAATATGCCACTAACAGGGGAAAAAATATTTGTACTAATACCATCTTTTCCGTGTTCTGTGCTGACACCATCAATATCATCAAATTTGGACCTCCTTGCCGAAAACTTTCTGTCTTCATACTTATCTTTTTCACGAATGTGCCTCTCCTTGAGCTTTTCCTCGTTATCAAATTTATTTTTATCATCTTTGGTGTACTTTTCACCATCCAACTCCACGTTCCTTTTATGATCCTTCTTCTCATCATGCCTACTTCTATACTCCTTACGCATATCCCTTTCTCGATGCATACCATCTTCAATGCCAGAGTTAGAATACCTCTTACTAGAACTGCCTCTATCAGAATAATCTCTTCCACTTGAGTCCCGATGGTGATGAGAATATAACTTAGAATAATCCCTCTCACCATTATCTCCATTGCAATTCCTTGTATTACTATCATGCTTGCGGTGACTAAGAGAATTCCTAGAGGATTGTCGGTCAGAATATCTGGGTGACTCCCAACTCCTTTCATTGTCTCTCCCTTCCTTCTCATCATCCTTTCTTCGCCGAGAATCAGCATTTTTATCACGATATTTCCTATTTGGAATTGGACTCAAGCTTCTCTCCCGCGCAGGACTACCTGCATCAGCACAAATCAGTGCATAAACTAAAAACTGCCTCTGGGATGACGGAATCTTGCTAGAAATCTAGTTATAAATTACAGGTTTACATTACTGAAAGATTAAAACATGTTTCTTCATATCAATATAGTAAAATCTAAAAATACAACTCTATGTATACAAATTCTGCCTTACAAATAACATTAACCATTTTATCCAAACATATTCCATATTATCATATTAGTACTGCAGAACAAAACTAGTGACCACTAAATTGCTGGTCACAAATATCAAACACCTAATTTTGCAGAATCCTTTACAAAGTTCTGATCAAAATATATGAAGTGCAATTTTAACCATATGATAAGATGATTACAGTAATCAAAAGAATTCCAGATTTCCAGTAAGAAAAAACAACTCCATATTCGATCCACAAGCTAAATTAGAGGTATCCTTAAACACACTAAAAGCTCCTTTTGTATTATCTATAAAAGTGTCTTAAACTATTTAGCCAATAATCACTGCCCAACTCACGAACCACACCATAACCTATATCTATCTGTGTGAGCAGTGAGCACCTATTATGTTCACTACCAAACTGTTAGCTGTTCTCCTTCACATCATAGTTTTAGACTCGATTCTGTTACACTCCTATAGTAAGCAAATTGATAGTACAACTATGGGAGATAACGGATAAACTATCACTCCTACGCATCAAAACCGAAGTGCAATTATGATAGACAGCAATCGTAAGAAGATCAGATTGCAAGCGAATCGATTTTGAGAAATAAATGATGAATCTTTGAAACAAAATCTGTTCACTAACCGTCGGAGGACGATCCGCCAGCTGGAGACCGACGCCGGTATTTCCGGTGAGCAGCATCACTAGACGGCTTCCGAAAAGCACCGCCGGAACCAACATCATCCCGGGCTGGCGTTAGCCCATCGGGATCCATAGCCGCGCACCTTAATCCAGAAAAAATATCCCTCTTAAACACGAAATCGATCCGCTCCGCGGTCAGAATTCTTGCTGTAGACTTGCAGGTGGTAATAGGATTCCAATACACGACGACAGAAATCGGGTTTGATTGATTAGGGTTTGGGGGACTTGAACGGGAAATGAGGATTAGAAGAATTCATTTGAATGATCTCTTTTCTTTGGATAATTTCGGCCGGAGAGCCCGGTAAGTATCAGAAACAAGCACCATTCTTTGCTATTGATGGAAAATAATAAGTAGATCCATGTTTCTCAATTATTTACGAAGAACAGTCAAATCGGACATGTTTAATAAAATGGAGAAAATTATGTTAAGCATAAAGGTCTATGCAAGTACCAGGTGTAGGCTCCACTATTTTCCATCAGTCTTCGATCAAAATTTAATTTACCTTCACTCACTATTCGACCGGGTCTGTGGAAGCCCTCGGAGATGGGACTCATCCTTATGAATAATTTTGAAAAGATTAAAAAAATTGAAAGTCGAAAAGATTTAAATTAATACTCCGTAGTATGTTCTTATATGTAATTTTTCAAAACACTAAGGGGCTGTTTGTTTTAGTCACTTAATGGTTCAGATGTCTGAATGGTTCAGCACTTAATCGTTCAGACTGTTTGTTTCATCCTCTTAATGGTTCAGATGTCTGAATGGTTAAGAGATTTGCCTCTGAATAGTTAAGTATTATACAGAGTCTGAATGGTTAAGACCTCTTATCTAAATTGATCCGACATTTGCCTCTCAATAGTTAAGCAATATACTAGCTTTTAATGGTTCAGACCTCTTACTGGTTCAGCACTTAATGGTTCAGACCTCTTACTGGTTCAGCACTTACCTATTCAGAAGTTGCCAAACAGCCCCTAACTCTAACTATTAAAGTAATGTTCTACACAATTTTGTCATTTGTGCACTTTCCTAAGTGAGTAAATGATTTTAAATAATAAAAAATAAAAATTTAAATAGACATATGATAAATTTGTAAAATTTGTAACCAAGTTATTTGTGACTTGAGCGTTACTTTTTTTCCTCATCCTACATAACGTTCTTCCCATCCTACGTGGCATCCAAGCGTCTTTTTTTCGTTCTATTTTTTCTTAAAATTAATTTGGCTATTCGCATATTCTTTTCTTCATATTTTTATTTTCTTAACAGTGTAAAGTCATCATTTTTTATTTCCAGTGAATTAAATACAAATGGAACCTTTTTAAAAAAGTATCATATACTGCTGAATGAGAATATAACATTTGTTGAATTTGTAATGCATGTTCAATTTATCTTTACAAAGTGTAAAAATAAGGCAATGACAACACAAGTATGACAATTTTTAAAAAAAGTTCAATTTTTATTTAATACCCTAAAAATAAAAAACTATGTCTTTATATTTTTTAAAAAATAGAAATATGAATAAATAAATAAATATGCGAATAGCCAAAAATTCTTTTAAATTTTTAAGAAAAAAATTATATTGCAAAAAAATTGAAAAATACCGCTTGAATGCCATGTAAGGTAAAGGAAGACTGCCATTTGGATGTCATGTCAATGAGAAGAACGCCAAATCGACATTCTATCGGTCAAATTTTTACACTTATTTGACTATAGGTTTTAAAGATGAGATATGTATTTGTTACAAATTAATATTGGGGCTCCATTTTGTTATAGAGCTCAAAGCTCGGATACCTCTCGTGAAAAAAGCCACAAAACCAGTGGGGAAATTAGATTTTTTTTTATTTATGAATATACTCTCTTGTTCCGGTGCCAAAGAACACACTTTGAATTACAATGCAAAACTACACACTTTTAAAAAATCATTTTACTTTAATTTAGTATTAAAATTAAAAATGATATTGCAAATTTAAAACCTACACCAAAAGTTATATCAAACAAGATGGGATATGACTATTTTATTTTATCAAATTATCAATAAAAATATGTGTATAAACAAAAGGTATCAAAATGTTAAAATAATAAATGTACCCTTTGGCACAGGGTGGAAGAAGTATTTTTTTTTTAAAACAATCACAGAATAGATTGACAATCAAATCATTTGATTTGAATACAAATTGGATAATAGTTCCACATCTAATAGGACTAAAACATCGGATACATTCTCAAAATAGAAGTGTTACGTTTTATCTTCAAAAAAAGACCAAAGCTATTTTAATTAAAAAGAAATCACCACGCACACGATACATAGATTCTGATGGGTGTAATCCACCCAAAACCGGTCAAAAGAAATGTCCTAATGTTCGACCGGTCAAAGTTGTTTATTATTGGAAGAAAGATCTCAATCGTCAGTAGAAGGAGAACTGGTTAATCAGAAAGTTGACCGGCATACTTCGGATAGTATACCGGTCAAACCACTTTACCACTTGAGTCACTCCCCAATTTCAGCCAACATCTCCCTTAGGAGCTACCCGGTATGTTTCCTAGGGTTAAAGAGTGTCGGCAAGAAGAATCCAAAGAAGCTTGGACTGTAGTAACGAGTATCACTGGAAGATCAATGGAGATGCTAAAGGAACCTGTCCAAGCCAGTACGCGACAAGGGAGCCATCTCCATCGCAAGATGACAAGGCAGCAAGAGGACAAAGGCCATCACCTCCCCCCCTCCGAGAACGTGCCTCAACGTGGGTGCACGACGTCCTGTCCCCTTCAAACTCAGTATATATAATCCTGTGATCTTCAAAGGAGGGGATCCGAATTCATTCTCTCTAAACTCCCTTGTAAAAGCTCCCGTGCATTCTCCTATATTTATAATATCAATTGGGCTACAGGTGTTTCCACATACAGTCCTCCCGATCATTTGTGTGTTTTTACCTATTTACTTTCCAAATCAAGTAAACGGCTCTAGACCCGGTCTAGTATAGTTTACCCGGTTAGGTAATTTACACCATCATATTCAATCGGCAAAAAAATGCACAATCTCTTCTGATGACCCCCTTTCACCGCCCACTTCGATCCATACCAATCACCGCCACATGCAATGCCATCGTCGCCGCCGCCTGCACCCTCTGAGCTTTGTGGTGCTATCACCACCATCTTCAAAGATTCGTTATGTAACTGCCCATATCTACCACGTCGCCCCATCTCCCCCTCTCAAATCATTGATTTCAAAAGTGATTGGATTCTACCTTGATCCTTAATTGAATTATATTTACCTTGAGCTTTATTTGGATGGTTTGGGAGATGATTTGGTGTCGAATAACAAGCCCCCCCCCCTCCGCTATCGATGACGATTGTTCATCCAGCTGCCATAAAGGTGGCTAGCTATAAGATGAGTGATCTTTGTCGACAATATTGTAGGCCTGTAGGGTAGTGGTTGAGTTTGACATTATGCTTTTATTTGACATTTTGCAATCGTAACTTTGACATCATATAGGAATCTATGGTATTTTGTATTGTTATTTGTTATATTACGTCTTCCCTTGACACTGTGTTGACAACTAATGTGACACTACGATAACGACGGTGCAGTGTGTGACGGTGGTATCATCGATAGTGGTAGAGATCGAGTGTAATTTCGTCAATGACAATAAAAAATCAACATCAACGATGTCGGATTTTGGCAACATTGGCACGTCATCACAGTGGCGGCAGAGTAAGTCAGCGGCGGAGATTCAAGTGACAATGGCATGCGGTATAGACACAATGGGCCACTAGAAAAAAAACTACTAGAAAAAATTATACCAAATTACTAGTATAAAAATATTTTTTTAATTTATTTTTTAAAATGATTTTTACTAATACATTTTACTACTCCTATTTTAAGAGATATTGTTAAATAAAATTTAGAATGGATGGAGTCATCTTTAGGATAAGATGACTAGCCCGGCCGGTATAGTGAAACGCAGGAGGAAAATTACTCGGACCCTTTTTCTTTAGTAGGGTTTTTAGGGCTTTTCCATCCATATTTATTCACTTGGCTCAGCCCCTCAGAAGCAGTCTTCTTCTTCTTCATTTCAATTTGCACTTCGCCATGTGGGCACTTCGCCGAGCTTCTGCTACCCTCAGGTAATCGCTTGCAATGGATGAACTGTCGTTTGATTCATTTCATTTCTCGTACGATGAGTAAATTCATATAACCCTAGGTCTATGTATGCATGTATGCATACGACGAGCAATTATAAACAGTGCTTATAGGGAAATGTGAGAATCAGTACGGGGCATTGGATTTCAGATCTATAGGCTGTAACGAACCAAAAATCTAGGAAAACCTTGAAAAATGGAGGTGACAATTTTAAAAAAAAAAGACCTGAAGTTTGAACAGTGGGGATTTTTATACCAACTACGCTTCTGAATGCGGTCGAGGAGCTCTAGATGTGAGTATGTGGATCAAATATATATATTGCTCAATTTATACCTTGCTACTCCAGAAGTTTTCCGGACTTTTAAAGTGTTTCGGCACAAACTCTGAAACCTGTGAAGATGTGGCCATGTGGGCAGTTTAATTGTCTGGACTGAACTTTGATAGCTCTAGCAACTGTATTTTGGGAAGTCTCACTGTTTTTTAATTTGCGTTGATTGCCATTGTTTAATTCATCCAATGGAAATCATCCCTAGTTATGAAGTTGAACTTAAGATGGATGCATGACTAAATTTTCCATGGTATGTACTTTAGGATGTTTTAGTGTTTTCTACTCATATTTGTGAAGGTTTTTTAAATTCATCCAATGGCTTGTGGCTCCCGTCCCTAGTTATGACGTCAAATTTTAGTTGGATACATGACCAAATTCTTCATGAGTATAATTACATCCTATTTGAATAAAGATTTGTTTATTTGTTATATAAGTTGTTGCTGAGTACAAAGCGGCTAATCCTGCTGGAAATTCTTGGACATTAAGACTGACTAAATTGGTTATTTATTACTTTTGCAGGAAGCAAAGGTTGAGCATAGAAAGTACTCAAATTAGGTTTGGTATACCATGTGTATCAAATAGTTTACCAGAAGACTGTGATGTGGGAGTTCATACTCCTGCTGAATTCGAGAGTCATAAGTTTCTATCACTAAAAAGTTTCCATAAGAAGGCTGGTAGTTCGCCTGCAGCATTATGGGGCACGTGCAGATTCTCCTCACATGCAGAAACAAAGAACAGTGGTCGGGATGGCGATGAGACGGAAGATGGATTTTCGGATCTTGATTCTCTTGCATCCGAAAATGATATTGCAGATAAAAATGAGGAGTCAGACTCAGAGTCAGACCTATCTGATGAGGCTGTTGATGATTTAGAGCATGGAATTGAGGATTCACAGGATCTGGTGGATACTAAAACCCCATTTGCCAAGAAAAGATTTGGATCAACATTGTTCAAGGAATTTTTGGATGATCCAGCATCAACAGTAGATTCAATCGTGACTAAATGGAAAAACAAAGGGAATGATTTGACTCGCTCAGAACTAACAGAAGTAATGACGGGCTTTCGTAGAAGGCGCATGTTTGGGAAAGCACTGAAGGTAAATTTTCTTCTTCTATGATCTTAATACTAATTGTTATAGTACTTGCTTTTTATGTATGTTTTGCTAAATTTGGTATAGTGCGTTCATCATTATATTCTGTCATATCAAATTTGAATATTTATGAAACATAAGAGGCAGTGCCTAATCCCTTTTTTTATACTCTGTATTTTTTGGGGGTTACTGCATTTTCCCATTATTTGCAGTAAAATGAAAAACCAAATTGTTTGTCCTTACCACCCTATTTCTTGTTTTTGACAGCTTTCTGAGTGGATGGAGTCATGTGAGGAGATTGAATTCACTGATAGAGATTTTGCATCTCGTGTTGATTTAATTGCCAAAATGCGTGATTTACATAGGGCAGAGGCCTTTTTGCAGAAGATTCCAAAAGAATTTCGCGGTGAACTTGCATATCGAGCTTTCTTAGCTAACTGTGTTTATGCAGTCAATGTGAAGAAAGCCGAAGAGACATTCAATAAAATGAAGGAACTTGGCTTCCCAATCTCATGCTTTGCTTTCAACCAGCTGCTTCTTCTCTACAAAAGAACTGACAAGAAGAAGATTGCAGATGTTCTTTTACTCATGGAAAAACACGGAGTGAAGCCATCTCGCTTTACATACAAAGTATTGATTGATGTCAAGGGGCAAGCCAATGATATAGATGGCATGGAAAAAATCATAGAGACAATGAAAAGCGAGGGAATGAATCCTCCTATCTCCGTAAAAGCATCAATAGCCAAATACTACATTGCTGGTGGTCACAATGAGAAAGCCGAGGCTGTACTTAAAGACATGGAAGGAGGCGACGCGATGGAAACCCGCTTTGCACGCCCATATTTCCTCTCCCTCTATGCTTCCCTCGGCAAGGCTGATGAAGTCAGCAGAATCTGGCAAGATTGCAAATCCAAACCCAGGGTAGACGAGGCTCTGTCTGCCATTCGTGCTTGGGGAAGTTTGAAGAAGTTCGACGAGGCAGAAGAGGCCTTTGAGGCATTGATAGACAAGTTCAAAAACTCCAAAAGCCTCACTTCAAAAGCTTACAATGTTTTATTGAGTGTTTATGCAGATAACAAGATGTTGGAGAAGGGAAAGGAGCTTGTGAAGAGGATGGGACAAAGCCATTGCAATGCAGGGCCATTGATTTGGGACACGCTTGTTCAGCTCTATTGCAATGCTGGAGAACTGGAAGGTGCCGATTCCATACTGAAAAACGCTGGAAGTAAGGGCAAACCAAAGCCTCTGTACAGGACCTATTCTACCGTTATGGAGGAATACTCAAAGAAAGGGGACGTTCACAACTGTGAGAAGATATTCTACAGAATGAGACAGGTAGGGTATACCTCCAGGTTTAGGCAGTTCGAAACACTTATAAAGGCATATGTGAATGCGAAGGCTCCTGCCTATGGAATGGCCGAGAGGATGAAGGCGGATAACATTTTCCCAAACAAGGCATTGGCCGGTTTGATTAACCAGGTTGATGCTTTCAGGCAGACGTCCTGGTCGGAGATACTGGACTGATCAGTTTGTTTCCGTTGTGGCAACTGGAAACAACTGCAGAGTTGCAGACTTGTGTTTTTTGATCATTAGTAAGTTTTTTTTTTGATTGACCTTAGGTTATGGATGTTTAATGGGTTGTCTTGTCTTGTATTTCCACCATCAGACAATCTGATCTGCGTTTCAATTTCTTTGTTTGAATATTTCTTGTCTCAAAGTATTCGTTATTCGTTCAGTTTGAATATTTCTCCGCCGCGGTTTGCTTTCGTTAACATAAACATGATGGGCTCTTACATCCTCCCCCCCCTTCGTGAAACATTTCTCGCCATCTTCGCCGGAGACACTGCTATCCAAGAACCAGTGCAGAAGATTGAACGATGGTGGCAGGGGAGTTAGGCGTTATTTTGTCGGAGTTCTAAGAGAACAAAGTTTGATTTTTGAGGGTGCAGATGCAGAATGATACTTTGTATTGAAGTGATGGTTAAATTTTTCAATAAATTGAATTGAGAAAAGTTCAGTCAAATGTCGTAAAACGCCATATGAATTTAGTTTTAGAATGATACTCTCTTCAAACCTAAAATTTATTATTTTGATTTTTTGGTCAAATGACACCTTTTTACTACAAATTGTAAGAGAAACATACTCATTATAATTAAATTTGTCTTAGAATATACATTTTGATATATCAAATTTTATAACATTTATTTATTTAAATTATACTCCCTTCGTCCCATTTTATAATGCTTGTTTCGATTTACGATATTTAACTGAAATTATTGTCAAATCATTTTGAACATGTAAATAGTAAACATGCATTATAATTTGGGACGGAGGGAGTATTTAATTTGTGATAAAGAATGTCATTGTTTGTCTAAGAAAAATCAAAACAAGAAGTGTTTTTTAGATTGGAGTGAGTAATAATTTTTATCTTTTTAGTTCTACACCAATTTTCAAGGAATGAGACATTCATATTACCATTATATACATAAGATATGACTCATTATATTAATTTTTCAAACAATGAATTAAAAATAATATTATCCAAACATTGTAAACCACAAGATACAACTTAAATTAAGACATTCAAATAACCATTCATGTGGTCAAGTGATTTTCTTTCTTTATACATTTTCAAACATATATTTTCATTTATCATTTGATAAATTAATATAATGAGTCATATCTTATTATTAATTTTATACTTAATTATTAAATAAATTGAATTAAAAATAATTTTAATCAAACATTTTAAGTTGTACCATAGAGTTAGTATTTTTATTATGAATGAAGGTTACGTTAAGTGAGATAGGAATTATCAATTTTTTTAAACGGAACATCGTAGGGACCCTAAGCGGAGTCCATGTCATAGGATGACATGGGGGTTAATGTCATTGGAACCTTACACATGGTACATTATGTCCTTTTTTTATATAGAGTATTCCGTATTGTCTAGTTTGATGGAACATACTTTTTTTTATAAAACAAAAACTATGTGGATGATATGTTAAAGTTTATGTTAAAATGAATAAACCTCTTGCAATGCATCACATGTTCTCATAAATAAATGTAACCCTCACTCACCCAACCACTGATGCCAACTTGAAGCAGACCCTTGGTAAGTAGTGGGGTTTTGCAAGGAATTCCAATAATGCTTGTCCTCCTAGTTTTTCACTTCTCAGTTTCTCACCAAAAAGTGTGTTTCTAATTGAACTGGTCTAAATGTCAAGCTGGTCAAAGCTGATCTTGCTAGCAGAATTTTGTATTAGTTCCTTCCGATAATCAACCTGTTCCACCAAAAAGAATTGTGTCAATGTGCCATGGGACAAACACATCTACCCTTGAACAAACTTTAGGCACAAGAGTGACTCTCAAGCTTGGCCGTAGATCACCCATATTATAGTAAGGTATACAAAGTTACCGGAGTAGAATAAATAAAGGTAGTCATAAAAAAGGCAGGTCTAGCATATAGTATTTAACCTCACAATTTTTCCCTACATTTACTACATGTATATATGAATTGTAATTGTACTTCGTAAATTTTTTTAAGTACATATGTTGGGGTCAAGCTTTGAGAGGCTTGCCCAAAGCCCGGGTGACTTATTAAACGAGCTTTTCTTTTTGTCCAAGGCCAGAACTTCAAGCCTTATTTTTTCTCAGAGCCCACTTAAAAATGGACGGGTCTTTGGGCTTGGGTGGGCAATCTGTCCCATGTCCATCTCTTTGCCTCACATCCCACTGGTGGGACTTTACTGAGCAGGTTGTTTTTGCATTAGAATTAAGCCAGGACGGTATAAAATTAAATTTGGAGTATATGGCTTCACTCAAATAGTTCATGAGTATTTTTTGTGACAAAATGTAAGTTGGGTGGGGGGGGGGAGGGAGGGGCAGATATGTGCTTCTTGGCATTTGCGAAACAGAGTAATTCTTCACTTACCCGAGTACCCATTAATGAGGAGAAAACAACATTTGCCTCAGCAGCATCTCTAACCACAAGTTGCTTCAACAGCCTAGTCTCTGGGTTCAAGGTTGTTTCCCATAACTGAGCAGGCATCATCTCTCCTAATCCTGTGTTTTGTTTAGACAAACAGGTAACAACAACAACAACCAAGCCTTATCCCACTAGGTGGGGTAGGCTACATGGATCAAACAATGCCATTGCGCCCTATCAAGTACCAGGTAATAACAGACTACACAAAGTTAACGAGGCAGACCCAGGCTCTCACATGAATGTATGTAAACGAGGGCTTTATAAAAAAATGAATAATAGCTAGCAATAATTGATAACACGTATCAGAACCCCGGTATAGTCATTCGGGGAGCAGAAGAGGAATCTCACCTTTAAATCTCTGGATGTTATATGACGCATTTGAGGGGAAAGAACCCTGGAGTTTCTTAAGCTCTGCATCATCAAAGCAGTAGTGCGATTGTTTTCCCCGTTCAACCTAAACGAATCAAGAACAAGGACAAATTACAACATAGACATATTTCAGGACATGTTTGGGAACCCAACTGAGATCAAACCTTATATAGAGGAGGAACACCCACATAAATGCACCCCTCATCAAACAAAGCCCTCTGCAACCAATAAAAGAGTGTGATCAGGGTATTTTTAACAAGCCTTGTATATAATTCACTCGAGGGAATTTCACACTTCTAATCCCCCAATTCCTTGGCTTTATGTAATCATTTTCAATTTTTGTAAATTTTGTCCCTCAATTGTTATATTTTAGATATATTTAGTCTTTCCTGCTAAAACCACAATAGGGTTGATGGGAGCAATATGGGCATTCTATTCTGCAGATATCACTAAATGCTAGTTTTATCGGGAGAGGCTACTACCTCAATATGAAAGACAGAAGTCCTACATTGCATAATCTCAAATATCTGGGGGGGGGGGATTCTAAAATGGTGGTTTCATTCTCTTAAATAATTTCTTTGACGAATCATCTTTGATCATTAGATGCAAGGAAAGACACGTGCCTGATATCGAAAGAAAAAAGTCAATAACAGGGTGCGAATATGAGCGCCATCCACATCAGCATCAGTCAAAATGATAATTTTATGATAACGCAGAGCTTCCTTTTTAAAATCCTCTCCCTGAAATGAGAAAAAAATAATCCTAAAATAAAGTTACAGTTGAAAGACCTGAAGCGCTCAATTACATGCCCATCAAAAATTGAGATGAAATAGAATAAATCTTTAAAAAATGAGCACCTTCACCCCAAGTCCTAGGGCAAGAATGAGATTCTGGATCTCTTCATTTTTGTACATGGAAGCCTCATCCTTCCTTTCAACATTCAAAATTTTACCTCGTAAAGGAAGGATCGCCTGCACAAATACATGACTTAAGATTTTGATTCCTCGAGTAACAATGTATTCTACAAAACAGCTTTTTTAGACAGCCTGTCATGTTAGCAAGAGATGCAACAACCCCAGTTAGAAGAGTGGAGAGCATCTCGGTTGGCGAGGGAGGGGGGTTTGGAAGTTGAGCGGTTGTCAGTTGAGGTTGGTTTTGGCAGCGCGAAATGAATCCTTGGAGAGGCCAAATTAGTGTTGTTGAGTCCTCTTGGGATTTGTGGATGAGCGTTGGGGGACACTCTTAGCTCACGGTTGATTTGGTTTTGTTGAGTAAACATTGCCGCGTTCTTGGCTTTCATGGTTTCAATTTATAATAAAAGACCCTTTTTTAGTATGGTTATACACGAGTCACACCATGTATCACTGTTTGTAGAGGCCCTCTCAGAAATGACCTCTCAGATCCGCGGGGTGGGATATACTAGGTACGATGGTTTGGTTTGGTCAAGTAGAAAATTGTCACTTACGACATCTTGAAATTTAAACCATCAATCACCTATTTGTTTAGTGCATGAACTTTCAAATAAAAAATAAATGAAACAGTATTAATTGCATACTTGGTGGTTCATTCAACCACACAATTTACGCAATAACATACTCCCTCCGCCCCAATTTATTTTTCCCATTTAGAAGAACGTGCAAAATCTCAAATTTTTTAAAATGATTTTATTTACAAATTGGGTATATAAATAAAAGGTACAAATTACACTAAAATACATCAAAAGTTCTACAAAACAAGAGGTTACAATGATATTTTGTTTTATCAAATGATCAATGAAAACAGGCTTACAAACATAAGTTATCGAGCAGTTGTAATAGTAACTGGGAAGATTAATTTGGGGCAAAGGGAGTATCTTAAGGCTGGTGACGCTTTATTATTTATCCTATGTGGTTTCATACCAAGCTTCAACTAGAATATTGTTTGGAAAGATATATAGAAAGAATATTCACCTGAAACCGCCGATCACGGCCTTGTTTAGCACTTCCGCCGGCCGAATCCCCTTCCACAATAAATATCTCTGACAAATTTTGATAAAAAGAAACAATTCTTTGATGCATGTAATACTGGAGAATAACGCCATGAAGTTTTAGAAGATGGTAATTGGTAAATACTCCCTAAATTATTAATTAAACTTCCCACCTTTTACCTGTACCAAAATAATCCAACCATTTCCTTTTCCTTTTGAAGTAAATCATTATATGGTTCATATTGCTTCTATCTTATCCAAATAAACCTCAGCCAGGCACTTCTTGTTTTCTTATCTGTGGCTTGTCAAAGTGTGCTTTTATTTAGGGATGGAGTGACTAGTGAGTATAATAAATTTGTAATGCAAAAAAACCAATTAACCTCGAAAACAACTGGGATATAAGCTTTGCACAAATAGCATAGGTACTCCAAGCTGAAAGTACTGTGAAGACTCCGTACAATATAGTGACCACCCCGCAATAAGCAAAAGTGGTGACGTATTTTCCACCTATTCATTCCTTCGTAATGTAAATTTATCAGAATATACTACGCAAAATTTCAGGCGCTGGGTCTTCAAGATATAAACACTGTTTTTGATGGATATTATTCCTATTATGTAGTTTATCTTTAATTGAAAGACAACAAAAGAAATGAGATAATAACAGGTCATGAGCCTGATGTTAATACGGAGTACTTTTTAAGTACTCTTAACATCTATGCATAAATGACACTGATCAAAGCCAAGCAAAGCAATTTATTGAGCCAAAGCTGGAAGATAGTGCAACACATTTCCACACTGAAGTTCAGAATATAAGCAAATGAGCCAGGGATAGAAATTTTGCAAAAAAAAAGGTCAGTATTAAATTTTCAGCTTTGTTATCAATACTCAATTCCCAATTTCACAATCTTCAGAGGTCCGTCCAGTAGAAGTGAAAAGTTAAAAGAGTCATTACTAACAAGTAACGATGTTTTTGTTTTGGCAAATAATGAACTAAATCAAATGGCACTTTAAACTTTCTTTGCTTCTTACTTTCTATGAAGTTTTTGGGTAGTAAATGCAAAAATGCATCTTGTCTATTGGAAACAATCTATACTTTTACAGGACTAAGATTGTAAGAGCATGTTCTCTTCGTCCTAACTAATTGGAACTGATTTGATTTTATTAAGGTCTAGTCAGAACTCTGACTCTAGTTATATTTAAAGTTGTTTATGATCTGAAATGTTCCGATTCCAAAAGGAATAAATAATACGGAGTAAGTAATAAGAATAAGTTGAAGAGAACATGCTCTAAGACTGCACATAACTTGACCCCCCTAAGACCCCAACATAGTTGGGTTTATTTTGGGTTGTTTTTGTTGTGAATGTTCAGGTGGAGCTAAGATGCATTCCCTAAAAACTGCAGAGTCCCTCCGTCATTAAAACAAGTTCCCACCAACCATCGTAAACCACAATGGAAACCGCCGTATTCCCTCAATCGATATTTAAACTTTACACTTTCTTTTTTGTTAATCCCAAAATACTCTCACATCTCCTTTGAAGGATAGTAACATGTGGCTTACAGCATTTCTCTCTTCTAAACAAATTTCAACCACACACTTCACTTCTTAACATTTTTATTAAGCTGTGTCCCCGGTCAAACCAGGAACTGAAATAGGGACTGAGGGAATGACATCTAACCATACATACCAGATTCCTCTGGATCTGTTGAAGAACAATCAGCAAGCTTCCCTGGAAGAGATGATGACTTTAAGACACTTTTTTGTCTTACCAACTCCCTGGCCCTCTTGGCTGCAAGGGCTGCCTAAATTCCAAAAATATGAGCTATAAAGATGTAATGCATATAAGCAAGCAAGAACCTAAACCAGCTGCATGCCTAAAATTACAGAGAACTAATATGGCATATTTTAACAGGTAAGGTACCTTCAAGGCATTAAGAGACTTGGAGAGAATTGAATCAAGTACCCCAGGATGCAACTCCAAGTATTCAGTAAGATACTCTTGAATAATTTGTTCAACAGCCTTTCGTACCTCTGGATTTCCCAACCTTGTCTTCAAACAAACAAACAAAAAGATAAACAAAATAGAAATGATTTATTAAATTGGAACCAAAACTATTTGCAGACAAACCCCCAGACTAGGTCAAGGCTCATCTCGCGAATACCTTAGTCTGTCCTTCAAATTCAGGATTTGATACTTTGACTGAAATCACACAAGTCAATCCCTCTCTCACATGCTCACCACTTAAGCTAATATCCTTTTCCTGGAGAAAAAGGACAAAGAGTTCATTGTTTTTTTAGATCAAACAAGCATAGAGAGCTCTTCTAAGTACTAGTCTACTAGAAAAAGAGCATGATTTCAAATTCATTTCAAAGGTAATCCAAGATATGAATTGAGATGTGATCAAATTAGGGTACACCCCTCAAGAAAATAGTATAATAGATGTAGCATAATGTGGTGTTTATAAACAAAAGATAATGAGGATGTGAATTCAGATTTAAAAATGAGGGTTGAGGGCAGAAAAATTTCCTTTCAATTTGCTTCATGAGTATCAATATGGACACACAATCACTGTTGTTTTATAAAAGAGAATATTTAATAGTGCACTAGTCTATTCTATATTTCTAGCAATCTGTGTTTTTCAATATTTTTTTATTTTTGATAAAGAAGCTTTAAAAAGTCAAAAGTATTCTCCAGAAGACAAAGCAATCACAATTCACAAAACTTCCATACAAGCAAAATAATATAGTAAAAGACTTAGTTGTAGGTATGGAGTTCAATGTTCATGTTTCCTTACAAGCAAAAGAATATAGTTCAATGTTCATGTTTCCTGTTCCATTAAGTCTATCGATATGGAGTCACCCTACACTGACACCAAGTTCGCCACCCCCAGTCTCACAGAGACACGTACACTCTGTACTCTCTGTGTTGACTGTGTGTGACTGTCTTTTGCTTCTGTGAGACAGTGTGGTGAAACTTGGTGTCATGAATGGTGTTGTCGAAGTAAAATTACTCTTAAATGAGAGGTCTAAACATACTACCTCTAAATCGATTAGAAGGGTAAGTGTGAAAATATCATTTCAGATATCTGGATCACCTACACTCCAGTTTTGAAACGTTGGTTTATCTAATTCCAATATTACAATGGCTACGTCTACAAAATTAGTATTCAGCTAATCCCTAGATTGTTTATGTAAGTGCATACACAACTAAAACTAGGGTGACTAAAACATAACTAAATTCTAATGTTTAGCCAAATTACAAATGAATTAGAATTAAGTTTTCATGTCTCTTGGAAAACATAAGAGAACGTGTATGGTTTACTTTATATGTCTTTGACTTTTTCGCAAGGCTGTTGAGTGTTCTTGTTAATGAGGCTTTTAGACCATCAATGTGAGTGCCACCATCGATTGTTCGTATGCTATTAGCATATCCAAGCATTGTATCTGAGTAGGCATCTGAACACCTAAATAGGCAATACAGAAAAATGGATTTAAAACATCAAATTTTAACTTGCACTTTAAAGTAGTTACTACTTAAGAATCTCAAAAATCAGTTACAGCATAAATAAGATTCTTTTTGCCGACTTATGGTGAACTTTAGTGTAAAAAAGCTCAGAAAAAAATGCAAAGACGTAAACTGAAGCAAAAGGCTAAAATTAATACCACTGAAGAGCTGCATCAATCAATATGCCATCTACTTCTCTTCTGAAGGCCACCACATCGTGCAAAGGTTTCTGAACCAGAAATCTGTTAGTGGTTACAAATGTTTGGAGAAAATAGAAAGAAAGTTTCAGCAGTTAACATTCACATTTGTAAAGGATATTATGAAGAAATTCTCAATAGCTGACACTTGACAGTTTGACTAAAATCAGCTCTAGACCTAGCAAAAATTGACCGGAGGCAATAATATTTTGTCATCTTGGAAAATGGAAATGTTTTTCTGCAATTATCATAAAGCAACATGATGTTCATGTTGATTTTAGAACATTAATCTTGTAATGGACATGACTACCACTGTGGGAGTGTTTTGGATTGATTTTGCAAAATCAATAAGTAGAACATCAATCATGTAGGTACTTGCTTTAAGAAATAGAGATTTAATTGTTTAAAATATGAAATATTACGTTAGCTTACGAAACACCAAAATTGTAAAAGCAGCTTAAACTAACAAACAACAAAAAACAAAGACTTATCCCACTAGGTGGGGTTGGCTCAGTTTAAACTTACCAATAAGCAAAAATCTAAGTATTCAAAAACACATTCTATGTGAATTGCCTCTTATGATTTGTTAAATGTAGGTGGAAAGCATAGTTATTACAGCGACTAGGCGAGGCCGGGCGCTAGACCACCTTCCAGACGCCTAGGCGATTAGGCGCCCGCCTAGGCGTCCCTTGGGCGAGTGGGATATGGCAATATTGATAATTTTTTAGGTACTAATGTAAACGCGCATAGTATGAAATAAATAAATAAAAAGATTAAATAGTACAGCAATACTAAAAAAAATAAGTACCAAAATCTTGATAATATATAAATAGGGAGTATAAAAAATTCAAAGCAGCAACTCATCAAGTCAGATACCAAACGAGATGAAGACAAAAAACCCTTAAGTATATAATAGTACGAGTAATTAGATTAATTGCAATATTCAGAATACTTCTCAGTACAGTACCCCCACTACTCCATCTCCATAAATGAATTAAGGGCAGATACAGTACCCACAAAGTCTTGTTTCTTTTTACTTTTAGAGTAGTTCCCAGTGTACAGTACCCCCACTACCCATTTATGTTTTCTAAAAGAAATTTCGGCATATAAACTACCCGACCCGACCCACAAAGTCTTGTTCCTTTTACTTTTTAATGGGTCGTAACCCGCAAGTAGCCGGCAATTACTCGTAAATCTTTTAATTAAGCCGACAAGAAGCAAATTCACTTCCTCGCCCGACCCGCATTGCATTTTCAAAGATTGAATGTGTCTGAATTGGACGATTATACGATTCGACTCCACGTCTTTACCATATCTTCAATTTCCGGATCTTTGCTGCGATTCAGATCGTTCCAGGTAACGTGCCGCGTTTTAATCGATGACAAGTCAAATTCTAGGCGGAAAAAGCTAGGCGACCAATCTGGCGTCCCCAATATCTCGCCCAAACACCTAGGCGACGCCTTGATAACTTTGGTGGAAAGAACCTTTTATGATGATCGTTTGAAATTTAATGTCATTATTCCTTCATAAGAAGGTTGCAACAAGAAAGGCATAATGCGTAAAACTGTCAGTTGCCACTGATTTTCAGAAGATCAAAAGACCATAAAAGCTTCATGCCACCAACCCTTGACATCGTTGGGATTAGGGTGCAGGAAGATGTTTTGGGTCACAAATTGACCAGAAACAAAATAACTTTCCACATTCATCATAATTCATAACCACAATGTGGTGAGCACAAGAGATCCATAGACCATAATAATAAATGCACAAGGATGATGCAAAGAGTAGAACAGTACCCATGAAACAGTAAAAAATAATATAGCGAATAAGCAAACCTTATCTGCATTCAACCATTTCACGTACTCAACCAAACCTCCAGCATAATAGTACTCATTGCATTGGTTCTTTTCTGTGTCTATATCCTCTTTCTTTAGGGCAATAGTTAGCTGCAAACCAGAGTAAATGGTAAGTGAAAATATACAAACGCAAACATCAGCATGTGAAGTTCTTCCCATGCATAATAAGCTAATTCAGAACATTTAATTGGATAGCATAGCATAAATTCATATTGCAGAATAATTGATTCAAAATCATCTACCACAGTTCAGCAAAATATAATTTACTTAAACCTTGAGTTTAGATCAAGAAATAGCAGAAGGAAAACTATGTATCCTAAAAATAAGAATTCCCTTAATGATGCAATATTAGCTACTCGCACGTTCAAAGAATGCAGTTCGCTTTTGAATTAATCATGCACAAAAATACCTCAGGGTTAAGAAATGCAAGCTCCCTAATTCGTCCAGCCAGAGTATTGTAGTCAAACTCTATTTCAGTTGTGAACACTGGATAAACAGTCAAGTTAGAAAAACATGGCAACAGCTCAAAGCCTCAAACACTAAAATCTGACAAATTGCAAAAGAAAAAAGAGAAAATATAGTTGTTTTTTAAAAAAACACTAGCCACTACTGAAATTATGAAGGTACACCACTGCACCAAACAATCCCTCCTCCACACAAATATCATACACATATTTTTGCAATTTATCAAAAAATAAATGTATGATAAGCCATACTAAGATGAAGCAGAAGTGCAAATCAAAGACCCCAAGAAAGAAAAAGGAAAATATTATTATTATTATTATTAACAACCTTCTTTATCAGGCCAAAATCGTATGGATGTCCCTCGACGTTCTTTCTGCTCAACTGATAACTCATGAAAAATCAAATCTGTTGTAGGCTTCCCACGGGAATACTTCTGTTTGTGTTCCATACCATCACGCCAGACAACTACCTCTAACTCCTGTGAGAAGATTAAATGCTCAATTAAGGTTATTGATGGAGTTTCTTAATGTCTAACAAGAGCATTAAGAACAGTGGTTAGGGTGCCCAGTAACTAAGTCAAGTAGTCAACTACAAGCAAACAGCTTTATTGAATGGAGCTTTTTATGGGACTTAACAGAAATAAGCACTTAAGATTATCACCAAAAGCAACTATATTTTTTATCAAGGAGAGAGAACTCCTACCCATTAAAACCTATTTACTCTCTTTGAAAATTACAATGTTCAAGCCTTAAAATATCCGCATGTCCACTTAAACATTTGGTTTAGAACCCTAGTAAAGCTTATATATATTAAATAATATAATTGAGAACACCTAAAACGCCTAAGAAGAAACTATGTTTGAGTTAGGTTACTTAGGTATGAAAAGGGAAGTGTCTACAATATATATGAAGTTGACAAAAGTAGAGAACAATAAATGCAGCACATGCTCTTAAGAAAATATATGAAGAATTATGTAAAATCTTTGTCATTCTTTCAAATTAAATTTCACTTCTATCATTTTTGGCATTTCAATAACGATTCTAGAAGTGCTTCCTGGTATTAAATAAAACTAAATGTGTTCATGCTATTCCTTCTATTTTCATGTATTCAAGATCTGATTTTAAAATCTTTATCAAAGTTTACCGTTAATATTTACCAGTATTTATCACACTCTTGAACATTTAAATATGTACTTTGGCATGATTTCATATTCTTTGGCATCACTTCAATAATCTGAAGGTCCCATACTATGTTGGAACACGTTTTTCAACAGTTATTAAATGCAAGCCCACATTAAGGATAAATAAGATCATGTTAATCATTGTGGCCTATGAAGCCTTGAAGGATATGCACAGAGGCTAATGAAACCCTTCATTAAAGAAGCAGTAAAAACCCATCTGGCTTGAAATTTACCGCCAAAGTGAGTTGAAAATATTCCAGCGAAAGATATGCATGTATGAATATAAGATACGATAGACAATTACCTCCGACAGTGCGTTAACAACAGAAAGGCCTACACCATGCAATCCACCTGAGACAGTATACCCACTACTTGTGCCTCCAAACTTGCCACCTGCATGCAGAACCTGCACCATTTCTCATTTATATAAACTGGTATAATTGTATAAATGATTGCTAATATTAGTATATGACATTTACTTTGATGATTGAATAATCTCTTAATCCAAACACTAACAGAAAAATGAAGTGTAATCAAGTCATAAAAGGAAGGATGCCATTAAATCATCTGGGTCCATAACTTAATTCAAAGAACACACTTAATCATATGAAATAAACAACAGTTTATCACAAGATCAACATTAATTTTTAAAAGGGGAATTAAGAAGACAATAATTTCAATATTCCTTTGTTGACATGCCAAAAAACTGGGTCCCACCACTTCGTCTTCACTTTTCAGCGGTCTCTCGCCAATATTATTAAACAAGAATTTTAATGATGGCCAACTCTGTGTTTCTTTTTTTTAACACAATGCTTGTTGGTATCTCAGTTGGCCATCACATAGATCAAATTCATGAGCTTATTATCCTAGGTCGGAACAAGTTAAGAGGATCCCATTATCCCATGAATCCCCCCCGGCAACATGGGCTTTGGCATCATGAGCACCCACCCCAGTGGAAGGCACGCTTGAATGGCTATTAGCTCAGTGGTAAAGCGTTCTACACTGAAATTCTATTGTCTTAAATTAAAGGTGGAATTCCACATCCGTATAAAACCCACCATCCACTAGAAAGTTCCCTCACGATAGTGAAGAGCGATTTTTGTAGTTGGTGAAAATTTACCGTCAAAACAGTCTCCAGAGCAGATTTTTTGGTCGTTGGATGCAAGTCAGTTGGAATCTGGAAAGCAAAGTAAAACATGTGAAGACATAACAGCAATAAAAAAAAGTTGGTATGCATCATCTTACTCACTTAGCTATAAGCAATAAACACACCCACTCAATTATTTATCTTATCGGCATACTCAAGTTGAAATGAGAGTGCATATGAGAACTAACTCGACTTATTTTGGATCAAACTAAAGAGGACATCAAATATTTGCTACATATAAGTTGCAGTACCAGACCAATAATCCTTCAAGAAAGCCTCAATATTCCAATGAGAAGGTGTGTAATCAAGTTATGCAGGGTATTTTATGGTGCCACTCAATCACAAAAGAGCCTAGAAAATTTGAGCTTCAGCTAGATCTGACACTTGCTCATTTCACATCTTTCTTATGACGAGATGTCACACATTATTCTCTAGAGAAAAATAAACAGTTCATACCCCGCGACCGTTGTCAGTGATGCTCACTGAATTGTCGAGATGCAGGACGACTTCTATTCTTGAAGCACAGCCTGCTTGAGCTTCGTCTACAGCATTATCCAATATTTCATATACCTCAAGTGGTGGAATGAATAATAAATAAAATAATTATTACACTCTGTCCAGTCAATATAAATCAGTGAATAACAAACAAAAAGAAAACATAGCATACCAGATGATGCAAGCCACAAGTTCCAGTGCTGCCGATATACATTCCAGGCCTTTTTCGTACGGGATCTAAACCTTGCAACACCTGAAAGGAAATTAGATTCTGACATATTGATACAACAGAGAATCTTACGCCATTCTGAAAGGGAGTTTACATTTGAACAATGTTCAAATGGGTACTGAAACAACATGGACATATAAAGATCTTTCTTTTTTAAATTTCTCTTTGTCCTGGCTTCTCAGCCTAAAAGATAAAACTGTTACAGAAGAAAGAAACTCTCTTGATAAGACCCGTGAATATGAAAACTTTACTCATAAGAAGCATTAGAGTGAAAATATCAGTTTGTTCGCAGCACATACACTATCCTAGCTGAAACTTCACTGCTACAGTTTGTGTGTGTGTGTGTGTGTGTGTATGGCAATATTATTATCTACCATAATCCCCACAAGCAATTAGCATAAAGCCCACCTGGCTTGATAATTTGTACCATCCCAGCCTAGTCTAAGGTTCCGTTCGTGGAGTTACTATTTTTGGTGAACTGTGTGAATGTGTTGAATTCATTGTGTTGACTACCTAAAAGGGATAGTTTATAAGTAAAGTGAAGGAAAAAAACAAGCATAACCAAAGAGAGAGTGAGAAACATCATTTTTCCTCCATTTCAGTATGTTGAACCAGAGGGTAACGTCTGGCGGAAAAATAATGGTCTATCAGCATTTTGTGACTTCACCACAGGAAGTAAAGGGAGCTATATTTTAAGAGCAGTATTCATATCCAGTGTTAAATTGCATCTTTTGGCTTAGTATATAGAACCTAACAGAAAAAACTAACCACATCCTAGGACTAAATTATTTAATAATCTACCCCTGCTCTAGGGCGGGTGAAATCAGAGATGTGAGCAGAACCTACCTCTACCCGGGAGTAGAGTGACTGCTTGCGGTAAGACCCCGGAAAATGGGGAAATTTGAGCTTTAGAGGAAGTAAAACACTGGATATGTTTGAAAATTTTGATGATATTTGAAGGAGACGATTAGGTATCCAAATGTGAAAGGTGGTGTGAATATTGAATAGTATAGTTGAAAAATAGTTTGGGCTATAGTTCCAAGAAATACAGTAGCATAATAACAACATCAACGAGGAATTATAACAAATGTGGTTAAGTAAACACAGAACTAGCTAACACATACAATGCGCCCCTAACACCTAATCATTCATTTCATCTTAATTTTCACAATTAAAAATTACAAAAGTAAAACACATGGAGACAGCGAGACATTAAAAACTTATGAGACCATGTGTCACCTGAATCTGTTCAGACCCATAGTCATTTGAAGCACTTCTTTCTTGAAGAGCTTCCATAACAAGTCTTGATGACATAAATGATTTAGTCCATCGAACACAACTAAGTAAATTCCTATTCAGATGCCGTCTCAAGCTACCATTTCTCCTGAAACAATAGCACACCATTTCACAAACAATCCACACTGCCCCTAGAGAAATCCCCTCTTTAACTCTTTCCCAAGTTGCACACACTTTTTAACAGCGCTCTATAGGCCATAATAATGGCCAAAATACGTCGCATAACCCCACAAGATATATTCTTGTACGAATAAATTATGTGTGAGGTGTCCAACAATATAGCACTTGACTAATCCAAAATTGACAGAAATGCAAGATTAAATACAAATTTAAAAAATCAGAAAAAGAATGCACAAACACCTGAATTTGGTTAGTAGAAGTGATGGAGGAGATGTAGACGAAGAGGAAGAGAGAAACGGGGCGCTAGCGTGACATTGAGTGAGAAAACAGCGATTGGCCATGAGTAGAATGGATTTTCTGAGCATTGAAGATGAAGAAGAAGCTCTCAACAGAGCCATTCATTCAATCTCGGCTCCGAATTCACAGATTTAAAACAATGAAGCTTTATTTGGTCGCTCTAGCTCTGTGAAATTTGAGTTTGGAGGGAGAAGATAAAAGTCAAGATTTACCTTCCCCACGCATAAACCCTACCGTCAACTCTTTTTGAGACTTCAATTTTACTTATTTAAAGAGCATCAACAATATGACAAGTATAAAAATGAAATGCGACACGTTAATGTGGTACATTTCAACCAATAAAAAATAATTCAGTCAACGTGTGGCAAATGAGTGGAGTGTCATGTCTTGCAGTGGCAAGTCATTGATTTTATCAGTTTTAACATTTTTTTGACATATTTTATTTAATAAAATTTATTTTTCTTAACTTTTTTTTAAAAAAACATCTTTCTACTTCTTCTAAAAAATCTTGTATTTTATGAAAAAAGTAAAAAAAAAAAAAGATCAGTTGACACGTGCATGGAATGCAAAGCATGGCAAATTGTCCATGCCTTGCAAGGCATTTTATAAAAATTGATGATGTGGTAGCGTGAGAGTAGCAAATCCACGCCACTGCCGATGCTCTAAAGAGTACGATCATATTCTCTTCAATTTAATCTTAAGGACTACTCTGCATTATTTATTACTTTTTCGTATTGAAATTAGTTAAGATCGAAAATAAAATTAAATATAACTACATTCAGATCTAATTAAAACTTATTCTAATCAGATGAGAAAAATATAAATCAGATGAAGAGAACATGCAGTGGCTGATTCAGGAAATTAGGTAGTAGGGGTCACCTCACCTTCAAACTCTGATACAGACAATTTGAATTGAAAAGATAATAAATTTAATCTCAAATAATTACTCTCCGTGTTTCAAAACCATCGTCTCACTATGAAAGTAGGTGAAATATCATTTCTTTTAAAATTATTTTGTTTACAAATTGATACTAAATTAAAGGTATAAGTTGCATATTTAAAATTTCATCAAATTAAAACAAACAAAATGTGACCATTATGTTTTGGTGAATTTTTAGACTAGTGTATCGTTTTGGCGCCGACCGTGGGACCCGAACAAAAAGCTCCATTTTTGTTCGGCCATCTTGCATAACCTAAAGAGTCATAGTTGCAAAAAAAAGAAAAGGGAGACAAGCTTTGGAGTGTCAAAAAGAAAGAAGCTAGAGAGAGGGAGAAATTGCTAAATTATTGCTTTTGGAACACTGAACATGTGTTTTGGTTCTGGAGGTTTGCAAAAAAAAGAGGCTAAAGAAAGAAATGCTTAGCAATTGAAGCCACTGCGGTTGAAGCGGGCTAGAGTTGCTGCCCCCATAAGATCTCCCAGAAGTCGCTGCAACCTTCACTCTCACAACTGGCGCAGATCGCTGAAGCTTCCCTAGTCTCTCACCACCGCCGGAGCTAAGCGACCATTACCTTTCCAATTGGTTTTACATCTGTCTGGCCGAACTCTTTCCAGATCTAGGACTACAAATATACAATAATGAGGAGGAAATTGGTCGAGATTCCATCTCTGTTCACGGCCGGCCAAGTTGAAATCAAGGAAATCCTTCTACGGCCACGGACGTCGCGACGTCGGAGTGGCTGCAACCCTTGCGGCTGCCTCTTCAACTGCTTCCTCAACTGCATCTGCCAAATCTAAGACACCGCCGACCCGGAACGATTCCGTGCCATCATCTCCGCTTACTATCGTGGCACCTTCGACGCCCTCGTCATCTACGCCGTCCACTCTTTGTGCTGAGATGTTCTCGCCGCTGCCCAATTTCGCAGTCGTTGTTGCCGAGACTGGCTGGGAAAATTGTCGGTCATCTTCGGACTAACTCACCATTGCTCCCACATATAGTTAGAGTTTCCTTACGGCTAAAAACTGCAAGGGAGCTAATGAGTGACCACCAAATTGATGGAGTGGTTACCGCGGCTAAAGCTTTGGACTTAGCAACCTGTGACCATCGTTGAAATTGAAATCTACCACGGCCCCTATAAAACCAGCCGCCATGTGCCGAGGAGTGATCATCTCAATTACGCCGCTGAAGCCCTCCATCACAAGCAACCGAATTCCGTCGCAAAGTGGCGGCGGCCAGATTCCAATTAAAGTGATGGTGATGAATTACAACATTGAGGCCACTACGGGGACGTGCCACCATCACATCTACACTTTCACTGCCAACACACGCGGAGCCAAAGAGGTACATGCCAATAAAGAATTGAAGATTTGACAGAGTAAAGATAGGCACCACGTGAAGAATACAATGAGCAAAGTGGTGGATGGTGGGGTCCATTCCCACTACATTTTGAAATGCTCCAATTGAAAAAATCAAGAAAATGTGTCCATGTGATGAGGCTCACGAGTCATGGGCAACAAGAATAGGAAGCCACATGGTGGGACCATTTATGAATTATGATTCTTCCAAGCATTATATATACCTCTACAATATACAAAAACAAGTCACTCCATAGCGAAAGGAAGAATCCAAGAAGGCTCACTTATTCTCACGGCCCATCAATTAATCATTTTGGTGGGAGAGGTGCATTGAATATTGCCGAGGAGAAATAAGTTCCCCACTTATTCCTCATTCGGGTCTACCACCAACAATTGGTGGAATGTTAACATTACGAAGCAATAATTTGGGTATTTGTACATACCATTTAGATGAATTCGGAGGGAAGACTGAGACACAAACCGAGCTTGGTACGCTGGTTACAACACCGGTCTTGCTCAGTATTAAAAAAAAGAGGAAGACTGAGACACAGGCCCGGCCTGGCACGCTGGTTACTACACCGGTCTTGCTCAGTATAATAAAAAAATATAAAATATGTGACACAGGCCCGGCCTGGCACGCTGGTAAATATCATTCTTGTGCGCGAGACAGGCCAAGATTGATATACACACCGGTCTTGCACATATTTTCTCGTAAGTCTGAACCCAATCGAATTGGGTACACCGGTGTCTCAGCTCAGCTCTTATCGGGGACGCCCGATTCTTCAGGCCCTTTGAACAAGGCACTTCGGAAGTGGTCTCTACATGACACGAAGATATTTGCATCAGTTAGCCGGGCTAGCATCGATCTTCAACAAAGCTGCTGCAGCGTACTCAATTCTTATTAACTAACGTCGATGTCGTCTGTATACTAATTTCGCTATGCATCGTTTACTTAATTCGTACTAACATCAGTCTCGACGAAATAACTACTCGAAGCATCGCTGCTTCCTCACACTAACTTCGGTGTCGTATAACTACTTGAAGCACTGCCGCTTCATCGTACTAACTCCGGTGTGGTATAACTACTCGAAGCATCGTTGCTTTATCGAACTGACATCGCTCTTGTTACGATAGTTATTCACGCGAATTTTAACCACCCTAACACCGAGCTCCTCGGTAAAGATAATAATTTTTTGAGCACGGCATAGGTCGGTCAAAAAAAATGTTGTACATATTATTTTTTGCAGGAAAAACTTCTGATTCAAGAAATTAGAGAACTAATGAAGACTCGGAGGACTAGCAATAATATCAACCGGTCAAGAATCCAAAGTACGAAGACTGAAGATAGCACTCGACGGACTTATTTACTTTTTTAAGTTGATGATTCTCATAACTTAAAAAAGTGGAGGACTTCTTGATGGGAAATAATACGTGACCCGGTCCACATTTCCCAATTATTTACGAAGAACAGTCAAACTGGACCTGTTTAATAAAATGGAGGAATAAGAGAATATTCCTCCGAAGATGCTCCTCCTCCCTCCTATAAAAGGAGGGGTGTCCCCAATGTGAAGAGGGAGGCTAATTTTTACACTCTCCCCTGCCCACTTCCTTTCTCTCTCTAGAATAGTGTGTATTTTGCTTCTTCTTCAAGAGCTCAAAAGCTCCATTAATGGCTTCTACGCCTAAATCATGTACCGTGTACACACCCCCGATATTAATAAAAATCCCCCGTTGGCAAGGTACCGCCAAAAAAGGCCCGTGGTTTTCTCCCGATTTGGGTTTCCACGTCAAAATCCTCGTGTTTATATTTTGGTGAATTTTTAGACTAGTGTATCGTTTTTGCCTAGCTAAAAACGATATACCGGTCGATAATTTACACCATCAATATTAGAGGCTGATTTTCATGACATTGGGAATCAATGTCATGGGATGATCCGGGGGTGCTTTGGTGTCCCGTTCGTAAAGTTGACGGTTCCCATCCCCTCATCCCTCGGTAAACCCCTCCACCCCACCCCAATCCAAACACCCCCCACCACCTTCAATTGCACCCCAAGTTAATTTTGACTTTGGAGTCAAATTTTGACTCCAAAGCCAAAATTAACTTAGGGTGCAATTGAAGGGGGTGGGGTGTGTTTGGGTCGGAGCGGGTGGGGCTTTACTATGGAGTTAGGTGGGATAGGAAACGTCAATTTTACGAAAGGGGCACCGGAGCATCCCCGAGTCATTCCATTACATTGGTTCCCAATGTCATGGAAACCAAGAGGTTTTATATTATCAGATGATCAACGAAAGATACAATTAAACAAAAGTTATCGAGAGGTCTATCCGTAATAATAATTCTGGGATGAATGTATTTAAATAGTAAATAAAAAAGTTTAAAAAACAACAAATTAAATTTATGGACTACACAATCTACATTATAACTTAGTTTGATTGTTACTCGTTTATGTCTCACACTTTCACTTTAAATTTTATTTTTGTCATTTTTAAATATTTCATTTAAAAATCTATTCTTTTAATATACCAATTGGTGTCTCTATTGTTACTTTAAATTAGAGTCCCTAATATTTTTAGTTGGGGTCCTTAATTATGTAATTCTTAAAAAATTAAAATTTAACTTAAAATAAAAAAAGTAGTAGGGGGCAATGGCCCCCAACTACATATGAATGGATCCGCCCATGAGAACATGGCCTTGATGGGTATAACTTATACCCGTCCCGAATACTCAAAAAGTGACAGGTCAGAATATGACCGGTCAATACATTAGTAGTGTTTGGAGAGACGTGGGAACCGTTGGGAGAAGTGACCGGTCATGTCTTCTCAAAAGTGACCGGTCATATTTGGTGCATAGTCATATTTGCATGGTCACAATTTCATAGTGTGCATGGGAGATGCTCAGTCATATTAGGTGCATGGTCATATTTTTGCATGATCGTATGTATAGAGTGAGAATTGTGCTAAACCGTTGGACAACATAAGTGAAGGATATGCGAGCGAGCAGCGGGTCAAATGCATATTTTCTTATGTAGATACTGATTGACGCTAGATCTATGCTTGAGGAAGGGCTTGTTACCATAATTGACCTCCTCCACTATATAAATAGATTGTAAGAGGTGGAGGAGGGACATTTATTCATTCAAACATAATTGTACACTCTTAAGACAAAGTAAAAATATAATTTCGGGCATAGAAATTTTTTTCTCGTCTAGGTCATTCTCGTGTTCTTATTACTTTATGGTGTGTTTGACTTACTTGATAGAGTTCGTTTTGACCTGGTTATACTCGACTAAATTTACACCATTAGGCCTAATGCTGCATTCCGTTGATCTGATCTGATTATAATTATATTTTAATTAATTCTAATTTGATATGATCTGATTGGAAATGAATTAGTCTGATATGATTTTAATAAGAATTAAAAATAAGCAGAAAAAATTGAATGGAACAGACCCTAATAAGGATAATGGACGATAGCTCTAAAACGATTTAGTAAATCTTAGTGTTCGCATTATGATTTTAGTTCATGCACTAGCGACTTAGGTGCGCATTTGCCACTCTATACAATGAAAAAAGTGAAATATATTTTTAAAGTGAATAAAAAATAGAGAATTTTACTTGGTGACAGAAGAATATATATTTTACTCATATTTTATTATTGTGTTTTCAACCGCTCCATCTGACTTAGGATACACTTATCGAGCATACCAAATCTCTTTTTTATTTTTTATTATCTATACATCTTTATGTCATGCATTATTAATCATTTTCAAAACGAAAAAAAATAACATATAGAAGTACAAACAAAACATATATGATCCTGATTCACATCGTTAATATTTTTTTACAAAATTTAAAAGTACAATAGTTTTTTTTAAATATAGTAATGCCTTGTATACTAGAAAGTTGATACCGTGTGTAATCATTATTAGGGGTGGACACGGTACGGTTCCGGTACCGCCACCCCATGTCACCGGAACCGTCACCGTGCCGGCCGGTACCGGTTCCGGTTCCCGGACCGGCAGTTCCGGTACCGGACCGGCCGGTTTCGCCCCTCCCCCTATTTTTTTTTTGCTTTTTTTAAAATTTTTAAGTACTCCCTCCGTCCCATATCTTTCTTCTCACTTTCCTTTTTAGGCCGTCCCATTTGATTCTTCCCATTTCCTTTTTTGGTAAACAATTTTGTTCAAAAAGACTAATTTACCCTCACTTTATTTTTTCTTCTTGTTTGAAGGCAGACCACCAACCCACCCCGTCTGACCTACCCCCTCTTTTCTTTTCTTTTCTTCTTTTTTCTCCGCTCATCTGTTTCTTCTTCTTCCTGTTTCTTCCCCATTCACCCTCATCTTCGTCTTCCTCTTTCTTTTTTAATCTTTTTTCTTCTTTTTTTTCTTTTTCTTCCTTCTTTGAAAAACCCTCCCCCCCCTCCCATTTTTTGTCTTCGTCAGACAATCCCCACCTTCCCGTTTTTTTCTTCTTCATCTTTGATAGTGGCGAAGAGATCTGATTTGAATGTTTAATTCAGATCCAACTTCTTAATTCTGTGTTACGAGCGACGAAGGAATATGGATGCGTTTTCAGATATGGTTTCAGATCTCTCCTACTCGAGCAGCTGGAAACGAGCGCCGGCGAGGAGACTGTGACGAAGTTTTCTGAATTCAGATCA